TATACCTGCATCAGGCTGTGAGAGCAGGGCTCCATTGTGTCAATTAGCCTCTGCATTTAGTGTTTAATGTCTCCTTTACAAGTGTTTCAATTACACAGGTGTTGATCCTAAACGACGCTGCAGAGTTTATCATTACACTGCAAAAACTCTCAGTACACAGTGATTCAGGAACTAAAGGGATTGTTTGTGGTTACAACTTTAAATATTGTTCATTGTCTTAATATTAGCATCATTAACACCTTAAATATGGTGCTGTTTAGTGTGTGACTGGGAAGATTCACACCCAAAATACCGACTTAAATCAGGGGCCGTCGAATCAAAGACTGGCTAACCTAATATGAAATGAATGAGTAGTGTTAACACTTTCAGTCCTATGCAGAGTATTTCACATGTATTGCTATAAAACACTTGAAACATATCGTACCACAGCAGCTATTCTCATTTTCTCAAACCTACTGATGACACACTGTATTTTTTCATAGGCTTTTACTTGTTACTCCACCCTGCTGTCCTGGCGTTTCACAAAATGAGGAAGCATTCACTGCTGCTGGTTTCATGTACATTTGAGTCAGAATGTTTTCGAGTCCACTTACTGTTTTGCTTTAAAACCTGGTTTAGAATGGTTTGAACACTTTGTGGTTTATTTAGTGAAGATTAAGTGTAAGTGAAACATGACTTTTCAGTTGCTGCGTCTGTGAAACGTCCTGAAAAAGTCCTAAAGGTTCTGGTATGTCCAGGAGCGCCGTGGCAGAGATCACAGACATTCCTGTATTGTTGCTGCACTTAGGCAGTACACAGTGAAGGACCTTGTTTAGCCCTTTCATCAAACTCCATTTCACAGTCTGAGAGCAAGAGGGAAACTGTTCATTGTTTTGATGAGCTGGGCTGTTTTTGGCAGAGCTCCGAGCATCAGGGCCTGCTCACTGCTCGTTAATACCAGGCAAAGCTGGGCTTGGTGGTGGCATCATCACGCTGCGAGGCTGCACACCGCAGAAAGGAGGAAGAGCATCCACAAACACACAGAGAGGAAGAATAGCTCAGCGGTGCTGAGACTCGAGTCTGCGGCACG